ATATAGTTGAAGGGAAAGAGAAAAAGTATTCCATTCGATTTGAACAAGCGCCTATTGATTTGATGGGCTTGAGAAATATCAAAAAGGTCAGTCCGTGAATAAATAAAAATTAATTAAAAAAATAATATAATATTAAAATTTAACACCAAAGAGAGTTAAAAAATCAAAACAATTAGGTTAATATTTCTATTTAAATATTATATTTTTACTTGAGAAAAAAACTTAATATATATTGTAGAATGATTTTATTTTTAGATTTGATTAACAAATAGTAATATTAACATCATGTAATATTGTTTTGTCAATATTTATGATAATATTTTTAAATTATAATTTATAAAAAATACAATTTAAAGAAAAAATGGTCTGCCCCGATAAGCCTGTAGCCCACATATTTATGAGTTGGGCCGATCGTTTTTTGACGTCACACAAAAAATGAGCTAGCCCGGCCTGACATGGGTGGACTTTACCCTTATTGACAGCTCTGCTTGTTTAACAACAAATCTTGGCATTAAGCATTTTTAAGAGTAAATTTGTAATACATGACAAATTTCGCTTACTTTTCTCATATTTATGTTATCTCACTTGCGACTTAACTATGCAGTAGTTAGGGGATTCATAAGGTGTATATGGTAGATGTCATGTATTTATGCTAACAAATATACTAAAATAGAGATCGCTCGGCCCTTTCCTCATTCACTCGTCTCTCTATTTTAGTGTATGTGATAGCAAAAATATATGTGTATTTTTGTTAATATATGATAGAAATCTATTATTTAGTGATAATTTTATATGTAATATTATTACAAAAAGGGGCCCAAATTTATCTCAAACAAAGGATTATTCTTGGGCTGAGACGGTACAATCCGATTGACCTTGACCCGGGAAAAAGTTGTCAAACTGTCATTTTTAGCCTCAGTATATTTATAATTTAACATCGAGTTTGAGTTATTGGATATAAAAAAGTTCTTGATCGTAAGCGAAACATTTTCTCTCAAACCGAGCCGATCTAGTTTCTTTATATTGGAATGAAAATATTAAATTAGGTGAAAAATAAAAATTTAATTAAAATTATTAATAACTAAATAAAATGTCATTAATAATAATAGGTTAGAGAGCTAAGCAACTGTCACTCTATCACTGCACTGTAGCACCCTTCTTCAGCAAGTATTCATATTTACACTTTTAGTCCTCACTCAAACTACTATTTATAGGTGGGCAATTTTTTATTTATTTCACTCATAAGTTTCTGATTTTTTTTCTCCATATTCACACTCTCGAAGAAAAAAAAAATGGAAGGACAGTACAAGAAGATGAAGAATCGAAGTTTTCCTCCTCCACCAAGACGAGGACTAATAATGGTGAAAATCGTGAATTCGGTGATTAAATCTGTAACTGAACTTGTTAACGGTGGATCGGAAAATAAAAACGGGAACGGAAAAACTTCCGGTGAATCTCCGGTAAGTTTTGATTCCGGTGTTGATTCTGATGGATGATGAATATTTATTATTTGAAGCTGAGGAATGTAAATAATAATGGGAATTTCTGGTTCCCCTGTTTTTTGTTTTTTCCCCTTATATAGCTTTATTTATTTAATTAGCTAAAATCTCTTTAATTTTAGTTTTTTTTTGGGTATGATCTATTGATTATGAAATAGAAATGAGTGCTTTGTTGTATAAATCTATTGTTAATTTATAATTTTAATTTTGATTCTTGTGATATTTGGCGATAGTTAAGAGGTGTTGATGGTTGATTAAAGTAACTCAAAAATTAATTATGGTAAATTTATGTGTTTTGTACCAATTTTGCTAATTATATTAGTACTAATTTTTCTAGCATATATTTGCTTGTTGTTTATAGTAGGATCAATGAAATTTATTTTTTTTATATTTCAATATTTGGAATTTGGAATATTAAATATTGTGATAAATTGTAAAAATAAATATTTCCTTTTTTTTTAAGGTAGTAACAAAATCAAAGGACAAATATGAAATAACCTTCTTCTATACCTTAATTTGTGCTATCTATCAATACTAGCAAATGCAAGAATTTGTATCACTCTATTTCAATTTATGCGTCATAAAAATACAAATTTATAAAGTTGAGATTTTTTTTACCGTACCAAGAGAATCTTCAACTAGAAATCGAGTTTTTCCAGCTCGGGAATCTGATTCGAAAGATGAAATTTTCCAAGTATTAGTTTTTCCACCAACCAAATGAGCTCTTGCTCGAGTGAAGCTTAATAGACTGGAAAACAGAATTGCTATTTTACAAACACATTTCTTCAAAAAAACAGCCATTGGGAATATGAAGTTAATTAAGCTCAAAAATAGTATTTTTCGATCGATTATGAAGCTTTCGAAAAGGGAAAATTGAGAGCAGATGAATAATTTGTTTGATAAATTTTCGAATATGTTTGTAATATATATAGTGAAGAGAAAACTAGCCGTTAAGAGTTAAATTGCAGCTAAAAAAGAGCAAGAAAACTACCCGTTAAAATAATAAGGTTAATACTAAGGTCAAATATTTATTGGGCTTTTTCATTTTTCTTAGTTGGGCTTAATCCATTAGCCCAACTTTTCAGATGAAAGCCCAAAGTCCAGCGGAAAAAAACAAAAATAAAATTAGAGAAATACACACTTTTGTTTCACTTATTTTCATTATTCTCTATTACTGTTAAAAATCTCCAAATATTTCTTATTTGTTTAATGTATTTGATCTCCATATTAATGTATTCGAGTCAGTATTTAAAGTATTCCAGCTACATATTAATGTATCCGAGCCAGTATTTAATGTATCTGAGCCAGTATTTAATGTATCTGAGCTACATATTAATGTAATTGAGATAGTTTTTAGTGTAGTCGACTACATATTAATGTATCCAAGATAATATTTAATGTATCCGAGCTTTAATTATGTCCATTTTTTTTAAAAAAAAAAATTAAGAGATTAATGTAATTAGAAATTTATTAGGGATAGATTGTAATTTTTATATCAAAACTATATGTTTTAAATTCATGTGACGCATTTGATTTAAACATAAAATTACGAAAGAAACTTTTTGCAGCATGAAAAAAACTAAACCTCTAAATTTTCACTAAGTTTAGCGATAATATTAATATTTTCAACCGTTCTTCAGCTTTTTATTAACAGTACTACAACAAAATCTCATACTCCTACAAAAATTTGAAAACCTTATTATATTTTATGATAAATTAAAAATGTAACTAAATTTAATTAATCAAATAAAAAAACCATCAATAATTCAATAAAGAAACTAACAATGTACCTTACCCTCTCTTTACTTCTCTCTAATTTAAAATATTTGAATAATTTAGTCATAAATTAAATAAAGATATTTTTATTATACATACACCATCACTTATCCTCTAAAAGAAACAAAAACAAATGCCACATGTTTGAGTACATGCAAAAGCAAACTTCTATATTTCCTCTAAAATTATTTATAGCTAGCCTTCCTCACCTATGTAATAGAAAATTCATATAAATCTTTTTTCACAAATTCAAATTATTTCTATTTTGCTTCATTTCTTATTTTCTAGTGAAGTCAATCTCATCTTATTCTCGATTCTTCATTTTTAATCTAACTCTCCTAATATTATGCAAATATTTTCATTTTTGCAACTCTTTATTTTTAAATATTATCTTCATTGATGTAACTGTTAATTTTTCAAAATATTTTATTAACCAACCTTAACTCTATCCCACATAACTTTTATTTTTTTTAAACATAATTTTTCAATTGGAGTTCTTTTCTAACTAATTTTTTTTCTTTTAAAAGTAGAATACATGTTTTGGTTAAATAAAATTTAAACTTTTAAATATTAATATATTAACTTTTAAATTCAGATATACTTTTTAAATATCATTCAATTTATGTCTAAACGTCCATTTCAATGCATAATGTTTTTTTTTAAAAGAAAACATTACGTTTAAATACTATGCACTTCCTAATCATACTTTTCATGTATATCTTTTCTGATAAGATTAGATGGAAATAAGTTACAAAAACCTACACGAAAATATTATAAGTCGTATTCTTTTTGAGTTTTGATTGTGGAATCAAAGTAATTAAATTAGTCAACTTTTGGTAGGTGTCCTCTTTAATTACAACCATATATAAGATAATGATAAATTTAATTCTTACAATATACCTCGACTTTAACGCAAGCAATGACCTAAGAAGAAGCTATAGTTAAGGTTAGCTCAAGAATGTTGGTTGAGTTGTTAACGATTAAGATCATTTAAAGACATTTTCTCATTAACGATTAGTGTTAGATAAATTGTGTTAGTCGATTTTAAAAAAATAAATAATAATTTTTTATTTTTAATAATTAGAGGTAGATTCAAAAGATGCATATTAGTAAAACATATTATTGCTTTATTCAATAAGTTCATTAAGACCACGTAAAATTAGTATATTGATGTATAAAAATATTGAATTAATAATCCTTATTGGTAAAACTTTTTACCCACGCCATTCAAAGTCGAAAAAAGGAACTAAGTAAATATTTCAAATCGCACACCCAACTTCTTTTGCGTCTTGGTGTGCCTAATAAAATCTCAAATTATATAATACAAAAAATATCCAAAATTAACACATACTTAATAAAATCTCAAATTATATATAAAAAAAAGCTTCGAAGTTAACACATATACACGATTATCCTTTCTCACCAAATAGGTCCGTCTAGTCTAACTTTAAAATTTATCATATAGCAATTAATAATCACAAATTTCTTTCTTTTCTATATATCGTATCCAACATAAATTAGGACGGACAGAGTAATACGGGGAGGGTGAGGAGGGAGGGAGGGAATCCCTTTCAAAATTCAAACTCAAAAAGCCCAACAAAAATCGGGTCGGGTCCACTCATTTTGTATCCGTTCACACTTCCCCCCATAGCTTTTTTCTGCTATTTCTTTGAACAGAGCTCTGAGATTCTTCACATTCCAAATCGAATTCTGCCAGAAGCAAAAAAGGGTTACGAATAGAGCAAAAATGGATGCTGAAAACATTGAAAATTCAGTGGAAATCAAAGGAATTCCTACTCGGGATGGTAAATATGTTGAGTACAATGTTGTGGGTAACTTATTTGAAGTTACCTCAAAGTATGTCCCTCCAATTCAACCTGTAGGCCGTGGAGCTTACGGAATCGTCTGGTACTTCATTCATCCCTAAAAAACTCTTTTTTCAGCTCCAGGCTAATTAGATTTTGATGTTGAAATTTGAAAAAGTTCAGTTTTTGAAGTTTGAATTTTTAAATTTGGATTTTTTGTGCCTAAAATTGAAAAATTGGTCTGAGGAAGTTTTGGGGAAATTGAGAACATTTGAAGATTAGATTTTTAAAATCTGATTCCCGAAATCTATGGCCAAATGCTACAGAAAACTTGGCATGTCTATACATAGTTGAATTGAAGTCAATGGGTGTAGTTAAACCTGCTGCAAGACTCTTTTGGGTGTGTAAATTGCGGATTTAGGATTTAAAGTCAGTTGGGGGGTTCAAGTTTGGTGTTGAGGCACACAAACATAATCTGAGCTGATAAAAATGAATGCATCTATCCTGGATCAGCTCATGTGTGTGCATTTTGGATATCTAAATTTCCTGAAGTTGGTGCTTTTGTTAGAATTTTGGCGTTTTTGTGTACTTCCATAGCTCATATGTATAGATGCATGTCTGATAAGCCTCAAAAGAATACAAAATAATGCGATGATTGGTCATGTATTTAGACCCTTTTCGGATGTGAGTAAAGTTGAAATCTTTTGCCTTGGAGAGAATGAGAAACAAGTGACAAACTATAGGATTTATTTATGTTGATTGGGATAACTATGGTGAATTATTGATTTGATTTGATTGTGTCGCAAATTGACTTTTTGTTGGGTTTCCCTGCAGCTGTGCTACAAATTCGGAGACGAAGGAGGAGATAGCAATAAAAAAAATTGGGAATGCATTTGAAAATAGAATTGATGCAAAGAGGACCCTTCGCGAGATCAAACTTCTTTCTCACATGGATCATGAAAATGTATTGCAATCATTTGCTAACGAGTATAGTGCTTTATCTTAGAGAATTCATTTCGTCTCTCTTCACTCTTTTTCCAGTATATCTTTTATCAGCTTGTTCTGAGTGCTAATGGAATCTTAGGTGTGACTGTCATGTATCTACGGATAAAGACTATGTTTTCATCCAGAAGTGTCTGAAGCGAAGTTTATAACTTAGCCTCTAGTTTCTTTCAGTACAATCTGTAATTTGGTTATCAATATTCCTATATATTGATATTGCTATACTGGTTTTGCAGGTCATCAAAATAAAAGATATAGTAAGACCACCAGACAGAGAGGAATTCAATGATGTGTATATTGTGTATGAGCTAATGGATACTGATCTGCATCAGATAATACGCTCTTCACAGGCCCTCACAGAAGATCATTGTCAAGTATGTATGCCTCTCTACTTATGCTCAATTTTCATTAAATTTTAAATAATGTATGTATAACGATCACTCTGTGACAGTTAGAAAATCCAATTTTGGTGCGAATAGAATGTCTTAGTAATTTGTTGTACGTGCAATTGTAATTGACGCTTGATGAAAAGATCAAACTTGCTTGTTATGCTGATTACTGATTCTTTGTTTGATGATGTGCTATGAAGTTGCATACTGTGAAAATGGAGTAGTTTTCCCTGATCATAGTTACAAGTTTAATAAACTAGAACGTTTAAGGAAATATAGAAATGTGAAATTCTTCTTCAAATGGACTACTAAAGAAATAGTGCCACACAAAGTGGAATGGAGGGAGTAACAACTTTCACTAGCTTGTTATTAGCTGGTTTATCAATGGTGTTTTTATTTTATAACCTCCTGTATCTGATGCTATTTGAAATTTATGCTTGTTTCCAAAATAATTCCACATTTTCTAGTAACACAGGAGAAAATTTGAGAGTAATCTGAATGACATTGGTTATGTTTACTTGCATGCTGAAGGCTCAAACTGGATATTTTATCTAAGTTCAGCTTTTCCTTTTTCTTCTTTGTGTTGAGCTGTGGAAACAACCTCTTGCAGAAATGTAGGGTAAAGCTGCGTATAAATAGACCCTTGTGTACCAGCTGTACCCTGCGTATAGCAGGGCTTAGTGCACTGGGCTGCCTTTTTTTTGTGATGGCACCACAATTTATCAATTTCTCACCCTCTACTGCATACAGGTTTTCACCCACTAAAGAAAAAAAAAGAACTACTATTGCCTGACCAAGCTTTTCCATATTTATGCTGTCATAATTTATGCCTTAGTTTGGCCAATTTCCATGGAACCCGTCTTTATTTAATTGCATTGCTTGACGCTCGAGTCTTCAGTATCTCACTACTAGAAAGTGAATGATGGTTGTTTAAATTACTTTAGTCTTAATATTATGTTTTTCAGTGGGGCCGATGCTCCATTGAGTTCGAATGGTGCATCACTGGCTCTTAGACATTTCTCGGTAATGAAAAAAAAATAAAATCTGCAAATGATCTTACTCGCAACTAGTAAAGCTTTTATTTTCAAATCCACACTTTATTGTTTTAATGTATGTGCTAGTTATATTGGCACAAAGGAATATTGAATTTGGTTTGGCGAAGTTTTGTAACATCCTGTTGATGCTTTTTCAGTACTTTCTCTATCAATTATTACGTGGACTCAAGTATGTACATTCTGCTAATGTTCTTCACCGGGATCTGAAACCTAGCAACTTGCTACTCAATGCAAACTGTGACCTCAAGATCTGTGATTTTGGGCTTGCTAGAACTACTTCAGAGGCAGATTTTATGACTGAGTATGTTGTTACCCGATGGTATAGGGCACCCGAGCTACTACTTAATTGTACTGAATATACTGCAGCGATTGATATATGGTCAGTTGGTTGCATTTTGATGGAACTCATTAAGAGAGAGCCTCTTTTTCCTGGCAGAGACTATGCTCAGCAATTGGGGCTTATCATTAAGGTATGTCTGCTTACACTGATATGTTGTTGTATCTTATCCTTCTAAATTAGCCAAATATTTCTCCCTCCGTTTCAATTTGTGTCTTAGTTTGACAGGGACTTTTGAATCTCGTGGTCTAAAAACATGTCCTATGAAGTTTCCAAATTAGGACTGAGGCGTTGTTCTTGAAACAAACTAATAAAAAAGTATGACAAACAAATTGAAACGGAGGGAGTAGTACATATATTCATTAACTAACACTAAGGCTCATCTATAGTTGATCAACTTGATTGTCGTTGTCTTTATAGACTAACAATAAAGCCGGTTATGTTTCTCTTTTCTGTAAATTAAGTTATTAGGTTCACCGGAGGAGTCTGATCTTGGATTCCTAAGGAGTGACAATGCTAGGAAGTACGTCAAGCAGCTGCCTCAAGTTCCAAAGCAACCATTTTCCGAGCATTTCCCTGATGTGTCCCCTTTAGCCCTTGATCTTGCAGAAAAGATGTTGGTTTTTGATCCAGCTAAACGCATAACTGGTATGCTCTTTTGCAACTACTGCATCAAAAAAGTTACTTATCTAAACTTGTTTTTTCTTACTCATCGATTCTTCTATTGATTTCCTGTGCATACAGTTGAGGATGCATTGAACCATCCATTCATGATAAGTCTCCATGAGATAAACGAGGAACCAGTTTGCACTTCTCCTTTCAACTTCGACTTTGAACAAGCATCTCTAAGCGAGGAAGACATTAAGGAGCTCATATGGAACGAGGCTCTTAAGTTTGATCCCGATACAACCAAGTGATGATCCATACTATATTTCCTCAATAGCTGGAGTGTGATTTGGTTGTGGCAGGTTTAGCCATTTGTGACATCTGTTTGATTGTTCTTTTAAGGTGAGCTTGGAGAGTTTGGTTTTCCTCCCTTCATACACGGGGTTGTTATAAGGGAGTGCGCGCATGATGGGGGAAGTAATCAATGGATTCATATTCTACTCAAGAATCCTTCGCCCCCTCGAAATTTTCTGTAAAAAAATGGAACTAGTCGTTTTCTGTTTACAAACTCAAAACTGTTTGTAAACAAATCATAGAACAAAAGAACAATAAGGATGAAAAAGAAAGAAACTAAAGTGATTATTTGCGAATATGCTGTTGTATAAGAGTTTGATAATATAATGGTATTGATATTTCAATTTTGAACTGCCTCTCTACTTTCTTCACAAGGTAAGTGTCATATTGTGTACACAACATGACAAAGTGGTGTGAGAAAAGGAGCACCACTTCGATTTGAAGCATCCACTCCTCTCCTCTTCTCTTCTCTTCACATGCCCGAACCATATCTCATTTTGTTTTAAACATGAATGTCAAATAAAAAAATCCTTACGGTAGCAGTGAATCGTCAAATTCACATCGAGGAGCTGGTCAGTCATAGTTTAAAGACAACAGGTTGAAGGTTGTTGGCCAAATGATACACACTGGAATTCTAAATTGAACCTCTTTTGAGAAAGGAGAATAGATGCCACAACGAGTGGCACTGCCAATTGTCTTATTATTTCTTGGGGATACATTTACCTAAACTGGCTTGTCTAACAACAAAGCTTATGCTTACAGCACTCAAATTAGAATAATGTTGAAGTACCCGTGACTTAGAATTTAAGAACTTGTTTGGGTTGTCTTCCTCGCTTTCCCATTGCCTTTTCCAGAGCTGTATGAAAATCATCAAAAGGTGATACTTCCAACCTGTATGAAAATGAAGGAGATTCAACGTCAGTTCCTTGCATCTAAGACGGGTGGTAAATGATCTGCCATCCATCTTGCATCGTTAGGCTAACAAATGACTTCCTAGCCCACTATCATCCGCAAAATCATTTTCAAATTTCAACTGTTCTGAATATTTAATTTTTCAATTGCATTAATATTGTAGTTAGAACATCTTAAACTTTTCTTTCACAAGGACATACTGGCATCAAGTGAGAGAAGGGAGTTCATACTCGTATTTCAATTTCCCATCTCGACATAGGCCCAATAGATAGTCTATCATGGATTGACGCTCTTCAGCTTTGTCTGAACTCATCCACCTCTGTAGCCAGAATCCTGTCAAGGTAAGTTCCTGAAAATATAGTTTCTAAATCAGTTCAGTATTCTTTTTCCTCGTGGCATACACTAGTACATCACTCACTATGTTCCAATATATTAAATTTTTACAGGTCTTAATGCATATACTTGAGGTTCTTATTTGTTTAGGACAGTTAAAATTGGAGTAGATGAAAAAATCTAAACATAGAGGTACTAATGTATGACCTGCAGGTTACAAGAATTTAATAGATTCTACCTAACAATTGCAACACTGTGGATGCATCTCAAGATCTACGTTACTGTCCAAGTTCTCATAACTTTATTCCACATTACTTACCTCACCTATGCTACTGCTCATTCAGGAATAATTGAAAACAGTTCTACCATAGAGCCACTTCTTCACGGGAAGAACATGAAAGTGAGATGCTTGAGACTTGCCTTGAATATAAAAGCAGAAGTAGATACAGTTATCGGTTTCTTTGACATCCCCCCATATGTCACCATAGTGCCACCCTGCCTGCAACAAACATGCTATCTGTCTTTATTTCTGGCAAGTTAAATTGACTAGAAAATAAAATTAAGAATACCATCTTACTTCAGGAATTTTAGGATCAATGAAGCAGCATTGCCACCAACACAATTAAAGCCTAAAACAGGTTCAGGTATATTGCCCTACACAACATCAAAGGAAATAATAAAAATATGTTTAGAATGGAAAATACCAATTAAAAAAATGTATAAGAGAAGTAAAACTATTTCCTCCATTGATTTTTTTAGCCTTTTGAACACCTATTAAGAAAGCTAATTTGGAACTTTAATTTAAGGCTGCTATTGACTCGATTAACCTATGTTTCTTCTCAAATTTATTCATGGGAAATTGTAAAGAATTTTTTTTTAAAAAAAAACAGGAAATCGTAGAGACTTCTTACAAGTTTGTTTAATCATTTATCGATGAGGGTAATTTTGAGGGAAAGATAATACCTTCTTGGTTTCTTTAAATATCACTTATTTCAGACCAAAGTTAAAAACTAGAAAACCACTTGAAAGGGAATAGAGAAAAGACTAGTTTAGAACATTGTCCCGACACATTGAAGATGTATAGGGTTGAAAAGGGGGATAGGAAGAGAGGAAACTGAAATGAAGGAAAACTCCCTGCAGCAATGGCAGTATGGCACTACATAAACAGTTCAGTACACAAATCATTATCAACTTAAAATGCTTGTTGATTGTTACCAGAAGACCTCTGACATTCTTCACTTCCAGTTGGCTTTCAGTATACACTTCATCAGCACCTAGTTGCTTGAGATGGGCTTTTGCTTCATCTGATCCTGCCCTGAGAGAATTGAGTTTATAATCCTGTGATACCTCATGCGTAGCAATTTCTATTAAATTAAGAAGACCTAACATCATACACGTATTAATGTATAAATTCATTGCTTTATATTCATCGGGAAAAGCACTCAAGGAAATGAACACAATTTATACAGAAACATTGGAAATGGAGAAAGAAGATAGGAAGCTCTTAATATATCAAACTCATAGTCCTAAAAGTGAAACTTGCGATTACATGAGACAGCCTTGAGAATTTTAGGAGAGTTTGGAAGCTACATAGTAGGAAAGATGTTCTTTTAGGCTGCAAGTTGTTGAATAATTACAGAAGTTAGCAGCACTAATCAGGGATGACTCAACCTTTCCTAGAATAGTACCACTAAGATAACTGTTGGGAAAATTTGCTACAGATTTTTTAGTGCGGGACATTGGTGAACCATGTCTAAACATTCAGATAACCAATTGAATGGAAAACCCTCTTAATTCATAGAGATTATCTGCCTCTAACAAACTTGCAGATCTTAGTACCGTTAAATTGCTGAATGCTCCTGAATAAAGAGGCAATTCTCAGGCAATCCGAGTTTAATGTTAAACATAAGGAAACTGCACCAGCAATAAAGGGGGAATTTTAGGATATCAGGAAAATAATATCATAATGGTAATATCGGGTCATTTTTACCATAGCAAGGAATTACAGATGCAAACAGAAAGGCATCTATCTTATGCAATAATAAACTTTAATCATAAGTTTTGTGTTGCCAAGGAAAGCAAGATTTTCACACCAGAGAACAAAGGAAGGTTTTCAAACCAGAGAATTAGACTGTGCTCTGAACAACTATTTTGAGACATAAGATAACTTCAAATTCACCAAGACCACAACATATTTTCAGCAGAGGTAAACTCCACCTGTCTCTAATGATATTGATGCTATGAATCCCACGGAGTCGAGCTAGTTGAATAACACATTGACCCACTATGCTTGTAGCACCATTTTGCACAATAGTGTCCCCTGCTTATGAAAAACGTTAACAAGAGAGATGGAAACAAGCAGTAAACATTAGATTCAAAACTTGGAAAACCTGATTTTAATGCAATAAAGTCCTCAAGCATTCTCAAGGCAGTCAACGGATTGACAATAACAGTCGCAGCATACTCCATTGGGGTGCTTTTATCAACTTTCTGCCACACACTTTGTTCTTTTACGACGTATGTCTGCCATGTCCCTGCACGAAAACATTGGTGTATTGATGCGTATCAGAATACCAAATTAAGTTCCTTCAGTGGGTATTAAGTCTAGTAAAGTATGCTTCGGGTGCATAACTTGATGTTTTAATGAGTAACAGATTTCTACCTGAAGAAGGTGGGGAAGGGATAACCCAATCTCCCGGGGAAAGACCCTTAACTGCAGAACCAATGGCATGTACTTCTCCAACACCTTCATATCCCCCAACTGCAGGCAACGGTGGTCGGACAGGATAAACTCCTGCGGTACAATAGATTTGGGGAAATTAATGTGAAATAATGTTTCCTCTGTGAGGAAGTCAGAAAACTAGTCTTAACAATGAAAGAAAAGAATGGACTCCATCAATGAGATCAAATGTTTGAAACTTTAAGTTACGTATTTAGTCCTTATTTGGGACGGATGCCTAGTTGATTGAGTGATTGATTAAATGAAAGAAAAGAAAAAAAATAGACTTAAGGGCAAGAAGGCATCATTTGACGAAAAGCAAGTCACACAAAGAAAAGCTAAATATTGCCTCTGCCACCACACCCCTAGTCCACTGAAGTCAAAAGTTGATTAACCTTGAAACATATAGAGCTAATGAGACCTACTTCTGTCCAAACATAGGCGTTATGAGCAAGTTGAGATTTAGAAACATCTATTTTTTTCTCTTGTAGCACAATGCATCAAAATGCATATGCAATACAACCCTACACTCTTATTAGATGTAATTTTTTAAGGTACTCTCTAATTAGATGTTCATACTGGCAAATTTATACGATGGAATATGAAATTGTTATAATGTGTTCACTGACAGTTGTTAATACTTCTGTTAATATTTGTAACTAATGACGACCATATACAATATCATGCACATGAGTTGACACCTTGTAGTAGAGCAACTGAGAGTTTGAGACAGCCAGAAATGAACGTGTGAAATTAAATCACAAGTCAAGAACTTAACATACTGAAAAGTATAAACATAATTTATTAATTTACTATTAGATTATCGATTAACCATTTAAGAGAAAATCTCAAACCGTGGTAACCCAATATATATAAAAAAAAAATCAAAACTGTTACCGATACAACTAAACCGTTAAGCATATTCCGGTTCGGGTTATTGGTCTCGGTTTGGTTTTGAACAATCCTAATATCATAGACCTTTTCAATACAATATTTGTGATAAGTATAGATTTTAGATACTTTTGTTTTCGTCGTGTTCAGCACGATCCTTCAATATGTGTCTGTGCTAGTTAGCTTATACCTTCAGCAACAGCTTGCTTTAAGTGAAGTACATGTTATTCAGTAATACTAGCCTCCATTGACAATAACATATTCAAAGCTCCCACCTCCTAACTAAAACGGATCCCTACTATTGACAACTCTTTAATTGTAACATGTCAATATCAAAAACCAAACAAACAAATTGAAACGGTGAGATTAGTCAACGTAAGTCTCTGCACATATAACCATTGTGTCATTATGAAGTAAAATGCTCTAACCTTCAATTCTATTAATATCAGAAGGATTGATCGGAGCCGCAAGCATTCTAACGCACACATCATTGTCTTTAATTTCCACCGGCGGAAGCTCCGTCACTCTGCGATTAACTTACAATTAGTACCAGATAATTGAAATTTGAAAAGTAAACTGAAGAGAAATGGAAGAGTTACTTAACCTAGTGACAACATCAGGAGAGCCGTGTTGATCGTAGACAACGGCCTTAGAAGGCGGCGAAATGGCGGCGGAATAATCTCGTACGGCTGAGTATAGAGGACGAGAACGGAGCCGGAGGACTCGTGAGAGCGGATTCCATGGTGAAACTCCATTTACGAGGGCTTTTAGGGGTACAATCCTAGCAGTCGCCATTACAGAACCTTCCAAAATGAACTATGGTGTTCTTATTTTGTTTGACCAAATTATTTTAAGCAAAACTCCTAATTTTTCATTTGTCTTAATTATTTTAGATACAATGCCTAATTTAAATATTGATAGCAACTATTACGTATAACAAAACATACAAATTATATTCGTAAATTATAACTATAAATTGTATTTCACAACAGATTTATATTTGTTACGAAGCTTTTAATTTATATAATTCGCTATAATCATTTAATTTATATAAATTATTTAGTTTTCTATAATTCATTTATACATTGCAATTTGTATAATAAAATTTGTATTTGTATAATATAAATGTATAGGAAGAAAATATATATATTTGTATTTATATATACACTTTTCTCTCGCTTTATATAAATACAAACACATTTTATACCTAAACGTATAAAATGACTAATTATATATTAAAAAAAATATCTAATTATATACCATGAAAAAAAATATATTTATTGTGAATTACAAAACTATTAATATAATATTTAATTTGAATTAGTGATTTGCTATTTCATATAGACCGTGCTAAACCCATGCTCAATATTCTAATAATATATAAAATCAAAAAATTAGTGAAGATTCATATTTTCAAACTTTGATCATAAATTCGAATATAAAAATTTTATATTTCATGATAAGCCCACGCTCAATATTCTAATAATATATAAAATAAAAAAAATAGTGAAGATTCATATTTTCAAACTTTGATCATAAATTCGAATATGGAAATTTTATATTTCATGAGATATAATTTATATAAAAAATTACATACAAATTACTAAACGCAATAATTAACAATTTAAATAATTTAAAATGCATAAAAAAAATTTCAAATAAAAAACTTCATCAACTTTTAAAATTTCGGATAAAATGATACGAAGACTTGATAATTAGGATAGAACGCTAATAGTAGGTGATATAAAATTGTTTAGTTTTTCTTGCAGTTTTTCGGTTTCTTTTTTATTATGTTTATCATACTATTTTTTGTTGCGACTTTTTTCCTTCGTTATTTTCTACTGCCTTTCATTTTGATGTTTTTATCTGATATTAACTTGACACAAAATTTTTAGAAAATAAAAAGGACTTTTGAATCTTATGATATTAAATTATATATATGAATAATATATCAAAATATGATTTAATTTTGAGGTCTTAAATATATAATTTATAAAGTTATTTATATCAAAAGGAAAAATGATCTTTTTTTTAAAACAAAGTAAAAGAAGCAAATTCAAACAAATAGAATATATGATTTCTTCGTATTTTCTTTTTCAAATACTTGATATTAGTATGTTTTCCTTTACTCAAGGATCTTAGAGAAAATGATACTATTGCTTCATTAATTGTTCAAGAAAAAAAGTATCTTAATAAATTTTTATTTTTTAATTTTATAATTTGTAAACTCTTGTTTAACCACATAAAAATAAAAAAAAATTAAACTCACAAATTTCAAATTCTTTTTATAATTAATATATTTGTAATTTTAAGTTTCAAAAGTTCTTTATTCTTTTCCCATTTAATCAAAATTATGACATACAAATAACTAGAGAGTATAATTAAGAGACATCAAATCTTAGGAAACATATGTTTGAGCAAATCTTAAACATGCACCAAAATAAAGTTTATAAATTCCACCAAAATATATTTTTTAAAAGTTTATGAAAAGAAGAAATAACAACAAACAACAAACAACAAAGTTGTTGAGATTAAGAAGATATAAATACTTAATTACTAATTATTGATCAACATAATGACCAATGAAATTACGGCATTGCCCATGACTTTATTATTATTATTATTTTAGAATATAAGAATTTGTTTCCTTTGACTTCCATGCCTCCCCATTGCCTTCTCAAGAGCAGTATGAAATTCTTCAAAATGAACTGAGTCAAATCTGTATCAAAATTTAAATTTTAGAATAATAATATTAAGAAATTTAATCTTATTAAATAAATTTCTATAAGATTTGAACGTAAGTTTTTAGATTCACTAAAATTAGATAGGTTGAATGAGATGTTCCATATGAACTGACTTTTCAAACTCAAACGAATCATATTTTCATGTGTTAATTTTACGAGTAATAAAGAGAGAACGAACGTACTCATATTTTAATTTCCCATCACGAACAAGGCCCAAGAGATAATCGATCCAATCCCTATATTTTGTTTTTTCTAATTTCCACTCTTGCAGCCAAAATCCTTTTAATGTAATATCCTGCAACAAAAGTTCCATTAATGAGTTTAATTTTATAAATAGAGTTGTTAATGCTTTTTTTAAAAACAAAATATTAGTGAGATTTTTTTGAATATATAAAAACGTAGTAGTATTTTAATCCTAATTAAAAAATCATGCCAATATAAAATACTTATTTGATTGTCATTGTATTTGTAGTTATGTGGGGCTAACTATATATACGTATGTATGTTTTTAAAGCAGAAGTTAGATGCACGTGTATGCATATCTTTTCGAGGCAAAAATTATATATATGTATATGATATATACGAGTATCAATTATGTATAATATTATTTTTTTAGTGGTCAATTAAACGTGGATGAATGACTAAGATTAGAACGGACAGTAACGATTAAAAACTAACCTTGAATATGAAATTTGAAGTTGATATAGTAACAGGTTCTTTGGACATCCCTCCATATGTAACCATAGTACCACCTTGCCTAAAACAACATAGAGTTATTATCAATAAACTTAATTATAATCACTTATATTATAATCGAAAATTAAATTAAGAATAGTTAATCTCACTTCAAAAATTTGACCACCAAAGTAGCAAAATTACCACCAACACAATTCAAACCCAAAATAGGTTGAGGTGTATCCCCCTACAACATACAAAAGAAAATTATAAGTAATTATAGTTTTTATATCGTATGACTTCAAAGTAACGAAATATATAATTAAATATTATGGTGAATAAAATTCAGTGATCATACCAGAAGTGTTTTGATACGTTGTACATTCAATTCATTTTCAGTAAACACTATATCAGCACCAAGTTTGATCAGTCTTTCTTTAACTTCATCGGATCCAGGATTATCTCTTATGATATTAATACTATGAATTCCATAAAGTCGAGCTAGCTGAATAACACATTGCCCTACTATACTTGTAGCTCCATTTTGCACAATCGAGTCTCCTATATATATATTTTTGAAATTAAACACATAGTGATCGATGTTTGATAAGTAAGCAAAAAAATATTAACCGACCTGGTTTCAAAGTGACAAACTCATTGAGCATTCTCAAGGCACTGACTGGATTAACAGAAACAGTGGCAGCAAATTCAATTGGAGTGTCTTCATGTATTTTGTGCCAAAGACTTTCTTCTTCTACCATGTAGGTTTGCCATGACCCTAATCAAAACATAATTACTAGTCTAATATACGTATTGAGGTACGATTAATTTAAAATAATATTGTGTAATGTATAACACAACATATTAAGTATAATCATATAAGTACGGAGTCTAGAATAGGTAGGATGTCATAGACCTTACCCCTCTCTGGTTACCTTAAGAGGTAAAGAGATTGTTCTCGATAAATCATGATCTGTTCACTTTTACATATTAAAAATAAATAAATATTTTCCTCCAATTTATTTTCAAGACCTAAAACTTCAGAGGCATGCAGAGTCCAGAGTAAACAAGTGAAAGTGAATAAAGATAGTGCAGAAAACATGTCAAAACGTTTTAAAACGTGATTCGTAAAGCCTATTAAAAGGATAAGAATCTGAATTATTTTCATACTCAAGACTCGAATATTTACCAGGAATATATGGAGAACGGATAACCAAGTCACCAAGAGAAAGAGTCTTCACAGCAGAGCCAACAGAATATATATGTCCCACTCCCTCACCTCCACCCACTGCTGGTAGTGTTGCCCTAGACGGATATACTCCTGCCATTCGTCGAAAAATAACAATAATAATATATTTAGTATCATTTCACACATTGAAAAATTTGAGAAAAATAGGATATACACTTATCTTAACTCTACTTTTGTAGTTTAGAGATACACTAATAGAAAATACAAATTTCGAGTAAGCAGCTTATAAAATCTTCTCTTATATCTAGACAGTCGGCTTATATTTGTAATAACTTTCTTAGATAGGAATAATACCATACATATTTTATTTTCTAAAATCTCAATTATAAAATTATATTGAATATTTCTTTCTTTTGTATAAATTGACATATTTTTTCTAAATTCTAACAAAATAGAAATTAGCTACTGATAAAATAATTAATCAAACAAACCTTCAATTATATTGATATCTGCAGGGTTGATTGGAGCTGCCAGCATTTTAACACACACATCCTTCTCACTTATCTCCTTTGGTGGGATTTCAGTCAATCTACATTAAAATAAAAATTGCATTTATATATAATCATACTATATAAATTTTAATCACACTAATAATATATAGTATTAAACATTTAAATTTATTATGATAAGTTAACATGAATTTCACTCTAGATCAATTTCTAAGGATTAAAAAATCAAAATCATAATCACAAGTCAAGGATTAAACAAAGTAATTTAAATTCAGAGGAATGCAACACGAGGGCTTAGACTAAATAAAGTAAGATCTGAAATATATGACGAATTCTCGTTAGTAGTTTCAGTCACGTTATATAAAAGGTAAAAATCTCGAAAATTTATGTTGATACGTGCTTCTGACCTGATGACGGTGTCTACGGGGCCGTGTTTATCGTACACGGCCGCCATAGACGGCGGAGACATGGTGGCTGCCGGAAAATGTGATTGCTTTGGCAACATAATTCCCTCTTTCTCTAGACTCAATTGATAAAAAAAATGAGATTAATAGTTGGGTGTTGCTACTTAAATAGTTATTGACTAATGAGAGAGCAATAAATTGGCAAAGATTATTTTCATTTATGAGAATTTACCTATATATATGAGAAAAAATTAATTGGCAAAGATTATTATACATGGGACAAAATAGGTACGTTACTAGAATAAATTAATTTTGTAATTGTTTTTTATATATAGAAAAGTTAAAATATTTTCCT